ACAACACTGATAACATAGGTCTAGTACAACATTCCAGCTTTTGAAAACATTGAGCTAAATGACACAAATGTGCATTGCAGAGGGCTACCCTTAATACCAACTGCGGAATCTGAAGCAACACATCAGCAGCCACAGCATCAACCACTTTAGCAGCACCACGCAAAGTAAGCACTAATCCAAAAGCAAGTAGAAATGCCCATAAAAAGTTACTGTGGGAGTAACTGCGGTGGCTCAAGTGGTTAAGATGCTGAACTGCAGGCTGTGCAAGGTTGGTAGTTCAGCAGCTCGAGACCCGAGTGTGCCACATGACGGAGTGAGCTCCCGTCTCTAGTTCCAGCTCCTGCCAACCTAGCCGTTCGAAAGCAAGAAATTCCAAGTAGATAAATAGGGACCACTTCGGAGGGAAGGTAACAGCGTTCCGTGCGCCTTGGTGTTTAGTCATGCCGGTCACATGACCACGGAAACGTCTTCGGACAGCACTGGCTCTTCGGCTTGGAAACGGAGATGAGCACCGCAACCCTAGAGTCGGATTCGACTGGCTTTCGAGCAAAGGAAACCTTTACCTTTACCTTAATCCTAAACAGGTCTAGTCAGAAGCAATTCCCATTTTATTCAATGGGGCTTATTCCTAGGAAAATGTTTTTAGGATTGGAAGCTGTGTGGCACTCAGTGGCAGCTAGCACAGCACCTCTCATATGCTCTCCATTTTTCAGCATTCACATATTTTCTCACTACTGCAAATGAAAACAGTAATGGTGAATCCACTACATGCTAAATATACCCTCATTGCAACATTCAGCGTTATTATTAACTTTACTTTTTTATATATATATAAAAAATCAAAAATATATATTGTGTTATGTTCCTGGGGAGAAAACAAAATTACATTTTCCCCCTTGCTGTTTACAAGAACAGTCCACTTGCCTGGAAACAATTGTAACTCCTTGTAGGAGACTGACTTTTTTGCAAGCAGTAGTAAGATGCACAGAATGTTAGGACAAGTCTGACAAGATGTGTTACTGAAAGGCAACAGAGTGGGTCATAAATGATGAAGTGCTATGACTGGATTCTTTCTTATCATCTAGATTTTTGTCAAAAAATAAGAACGCAAAACATTCTTTCACTCTTTCTCTCTGGTGGAAAGTGCTGTCAAGTTCTAGCTGACTTATGGTCACCCTGTAGGGTTTCAAGGGAGGAGGAGGAGACTGGATTTATACCCCGCCCTTCACTACCCAAAGGAGTCTCAGAGCGGCTTACAATCGCTTTCCCTTCCCGTCCCCACAACAGACACCCTCTGAGGTAGGTGGGGCTGAGAGAGCACTTCTGAGAACTGCTCTTGAGAGAACAGCTCTGAAAAAACTTATGACTGACCCAAGGTCACACCAGCAGCTACATGTGGAGGAGTGGGGGATCAAACCTGGCTCTCCCAAATTAGAGTCCACCCTCTTAACACTACCAGTTTGGTGTAGTGGTTAAGTGCACAGACTTTAATCTGGGAGAACCGGGTTTGATTCCCCACTCCTCCACTTGCAGTTGCTGGACGACGTTGGGCAAGCCATAGTTCTGGCATAGCTGTTCCTGAAAGAACAGTTTCTCTCAGAGCTCTCTCAGTCCCACCTACCTCACAGGGTGTCTGTTGTGGGGAAGGGAAGGGAAAGGAGTTTGTAAGCTGCTCTGAGACTCCAAGTGAAGGGCGGGGTATAAATCTAGGGTTGCTTGCCAGGTCTGGGTTGGAAAATACCTGGAGACTTTGGGGTGGAGCCTGGAGAGGGCAAGGTTTGGGGGGAGGGGCCTCAGCATGGTACGATGCCATAGAGTCCACCCTTCAAAGCAGCCATTTTTCTCCAGGGGATCTGATCTCTGTCAGCTGGAGATCAGTTGTAAAAGCGGGGGATGTCCAGGCCCCACCTGAAGGCTGGCAACCCTAGTATAAATCCAATCTCCTCTTCTTCTTCTACACCAAACTGGTGGTTTGCCATTGCCGACCTCTGCATAGCTACTCTGGACTTCTCCCTGGTGGTCCCTCCCATCCAAATACTAACCAGAATTGATCCTGTTTAGCTTCCGAGTTCTTACAAGTTTGGGTTAGCCTGAGCCATCCAGGTCAGGACACATAAGTGGGGGGGGGTGTATATAAAAATTAAAAATTAGTCATTCTGACAGTCTACTGCCATTCATAGCACTTCTGTCAGACCTTGTTAACTCTAACACTCTGTCACTTTCTCTTCCGGTTATTTTCTAGTCTTAAATATCAATTTGGCCATGTAAATCTGCTTTGCCTCTTCATTTAGTGGGTACGTCTGCAGAACGTAGGTGTAAATCCTTCACATGAAAGCCCATCTGAAGAACTGGAACACATATGGTTATATCAGTGTATTTGACTATATAGTATAGATTACGGGACTTCCATGAAACAGACTACTTAACACAAGCAGCGACAAGACTGGGTTATTGTAATGTACTCAAGACAGGGCACCACTTGAAGACTATTCAGAAACGGCAGCTGGTACAGAAGGTGGTTGCTCCTTTACCAACTAGAGACTGGAGTTCTGATCATGTTACTGATCTTAGAACTCCTCAACTCTTCTACCTATATGCTTCCAATTCTAATTCAAAAGCCTAAAACCCGAAGGAAAAACCCACATACCTGAAGGAGAAGAAGAAGAGGAGAGATTGGATTTATACCCCGCCCTTCACTTGGAGTCTCAGAGCAGCTTGCAAACTCCTTTCCCTTCCCCTCCTCACAACAGACACCCTGTGAGGTGAGTGGGGCTGAGAGAACTCTGACACAAACTGCTCTTTTTCAAGGACAGCTGTGCCAGAGCCTGTGACTGACCCAAGGTCACATCGGCAGGGGGAGGAGTGGGGAATCAAACCCGGGTCTCCCAGATTAGAGTCCGCACACTTAACCACTACACCAAACTGCCATGTATGAACCTGAGATTCTTGCAGATCTCCCTCTTTGCTCCTCCCCCCTTCGTTTTATTAGACCTGCCACAGCTCAGCAGTAATTTCTGGCAGTGACTTGGCCCTTTGAGATGATTTTCCCAAAGAGGAAACAATATTTTCACAAACATTGTTTGTCAACAGATTTTTATTTCACTCTGAATATGCATCTGTTTAGTTCATATGGATATACCTACATTATAGTTACGGTACACACAGGCCAGAAAGATAAAGTTCACGGACATCATCCAAAAGGCTGAGTCCTACAAGAAATGTGTCATTTCCAACTGTGCAGATATCAAGAACTCTATTGTTTGGTGCGTGGATGACGCGATGCTTTGCCATTTTCCAACCCCAATAACGCAGCTGTTAAATAAGCGTTCTGAGTGTTCAAGTATTTTCACAGAAAGTCTTGACATTTCTTAAGAGCCTTTATAGTAGATCAATATTAGCCTTTTGAAATAGCTTCTACTCTTCAAGACAAAAGCGGTTTCCCAGCATCCCAACCAACAAGTCTACTTAAGGTGCAGCAACGGTTTTAAAATGGTGTGACAAACGTCTTCTAAGAAGCAAACTGGTTCCTCCACAGAAAAAAAGTTACTTCCCCCGTGCATCTTCTTCCTTATAAGCTGCCAAAATAGATTCAGGTGGGTAACCGTGCTGGTCTGAAGCAACAGAACAAAATTCGAGTCCAGGGGCACCTTTAAAACCAACAAAATCTTATTCAAGGTATAAGCTTTCATGTGTATGCACACTTCTTCAAAATACAGTGAAACAGAATTTCCTCAATCATTATATATAGGGGGGTAGGTGCCCGGAAGGGCTAATTAGAATATGCATAAATAACTGGGTGACTATAGCTGAGATTGGATTATGGTAAAATCTGTGAATGGCAGTAAATTAGCATACAAATACAAGTGTTAACAAACAGATGTGAGAACAAAGTTTGAGTCTCTCTACCCATATGTAAAGGAGCTGCGGTGGCTCAAGTGGTTAAGATGCTGAACTGCAGGCTGTGGAAGGTCGGTAGTTCAGCAGTTCAAGACCCGTGTGCCACATGATGGAGTGAGTGCCAGTCTCTAGTTCCAGCTCCTGCCAACCTCACAGTTCGAAAGCAAGAAATTGCAAGTAGATCAATAGGTACCACTTCAGTGGGAAGGTAACAGCGTTCCGTGTGCCTTGGCGTTTAGTCATGCCGGCTACATGACCACGGAAACGTCTTCGGACAGCACTGGCTCTTCGGACTGGACTGGCTTTCGAGCAAGGGAACCTTTACCTTTTACCCATATGTAATGGTTGAAGAAACTCTGCTTCACTGTATTTGAAGTGTGCTTGCACCAGAAAGCTTATACCTTGAATAAAACTCTGTCGCTCTTAAAGGTGCCTCTGGACTCAAAATTTGTTAAGACGCCAAAGAATATTCTGAAAGGCCACCTACGTCTGCCACCAGGCTAGCTCCAGCAAACGCTTATACATAAACATAGACAGTTCCCTAGAGAATGCTGTGCTCTGGCCAAGAGCACACACACACCCCATGCCTCTCCTCGTCCCTCATTTTAGAGAACGCATTCAACGACTCAAACACCGGATTCCCATTCTGGGAACAAACTCCTTCCCAGCAGGCAAACACGCCAGCGACCCCTTACAAGAAGGCTCCAGAACAAGAAGGGAGTCTGGAGCCTTGCCAGCCCGCCCAGCCCAAGGGGGGAGGGAGGGTGTCTGCAAAACAGACAAAACCTAAAACCAGCAGCAACAAAAAGCTGGCGGGAAGGCCGCTTCCTGGCACGAAACGGCCAGATCGTCGGCCGAAGAAGCCCATCACACTTCGGAATCGGCTCCGGGCGACCACATTTTTCAACGGTGACGTCTCCCTCCCGGCCGAGGCTGCCTGCCAGCCGGAACACACCCAAACCCACAAGGCCCGGCGGGCAAGATCATCGCCGCCGCCTCCTGCACCAAGTGAAGACAGAGGGCAGCGCAGGGCACCTCCGGCTCCCCCCCCCCTCCTCCCGCTCCTCCCCCTTCCTCTTTAAAACCTCCATTCCCCATTTTACCTTCTTTTGCTTTTTTCCTCCTTGCCAGGGTGCCGCCAAGTTTGCCCAAGAAGGAGTCGTCTTTCTTCCGGGAAGGGGGCGACTTGGGGGTTGGAGACTTGGGGGCGGAGGGCGATTTCTGCGGAGAGGTCGCCATGTCGGTGGCCCCGCGGCGCTTCGGAGAGGGGAGACCACGTTAAGAGACCCAGCCCGAGTCCGTTCGAGGCGGCGGCGGGTCCCTGCTCCCGAACGGAAGCGGAATTCTCCCAAGCCTCCGAGGCTGTCCTTTCTCGCTCTCGCCCGGCTTCCTTCCTCTCTCCCTCCCTCTCCCGACGCACGCCCGGAGCAGGATTGTCTCTCTCCTCCTCGCAGAAAGGCGCGCGTCGTCAGTCGCGCTCCTGCGCTCTTCCCCTTTCCGATCTCGCCACCCCCGTCCCGAAATAGTCACTTCGGCTGCAAAAATATGGAACTGCAAAGACAGCCGCGGTCTAGGCGTGCCTGCTCGGAAGGAAACCTCACTGCGTTCAGTGAGGTTGACACCCCGGCAAGCCCTGCCTGCTTATTCAATCAGAAAGAAAACCTTAGTGGGCCTAATTCTGAAGAAAAACCCCCGTTGACTTATTTCGGAGGGAACGTGAGATCAAGGGGTGGGGGAAACGGCAGGAGAGAGAGGTTGGCGGCGTTCTTGGAATTCAGTCAAAGGGTCCAAACTTGGCAGCAAGTTGGAGAGAGGCTGTCTGCGGTCTGTCCCGTTGATGGATTATAGGGTTCAGGCAATTCTCAAGAAAGGTTACGTTACAGCAACCAGGGGAGGGGCGGGGAAGTGCTGCAAACGGCGGCCCCTATAGAGGGTGGTGCCCCAGCTCGTCCCTACGGCACGTGTAAAGCTAGGGACCTGGCTCTTTTCAGTGTACAGCTGCAGCGGAATGGAGTGAGAACACCGTGACTTTTGTATTATAGGTTCAGGCAATTCTCAAGCAAGGTTAAGTTAGGGCAACCAGGGGAGGGGCGGGGAAGTGCTGCAGACGGCGGCCCCAGCTCGTCCCTACGGCACGTGTAAAGCTAGGGACCTGGCTCTTTTCAGTGTACAGCTGCAGCGGAATGGAGTGAGAACACCTTGACTTTTGTGTATCTCCTAGTATCACTGCAGCTACACATCAGTTTTAAAATGACTCTCCATACAAATTGTAATTGCAGAATTTTATTCCTGGTGAATAAGTAAAGTAAAGGTAAAGGTTCCCTTGCTCGAAAGCCAGTCGAGTCCTGCGGTGCTCATCTCCATTTCAAAGCCGAAGAGCCAGCGCTGTCCGAAGACATTTCCATGGTCATGGGACCCAAGGGCGTAGACTTTCCAATTTCGGGGGGGGGGGGCTGGGGCTGGGCCAGAGGCATTGCTGTGCTAGGTCCTTAAAAGAAACAAGGCCCAGTGACATCATAGGGAGGAGCCTGTGACGTCACAGGCCATTGTAACTATTTATGGAGGCAGAGCCATGTGGGATTTAGGAAGGGGTTCTCCAGAAATTTAGGGGGACCTGGAAACCCTTGAGAACCCCCCTAGCCAGGCCCAACGGCTCAGAAACAAAGCATGGCATGGGCAAAATCCTCTACATAAAACCCTGGAGAACCACTGCCAGTCTAAGTAGACAATGATGACACTGATGGACTGATGGTAGAGAAATCATGCTTTGTGTGCCAAAGGATAAAGGTTTAAACCGAGAAGGTCTAAGAAAACAGGTGTTGGAAAGGATCTGTCTCTGTCTGAATCTCTAGAGATCACCTGCTTCAGAGCAGACCATGCTGAAGTAGAGGGACCAATGGCATGAAGACCAGTGTGGATTGAGGAGACCCATGTTCAGATCTACATTTTGCATGACACTTACTTGGTGATACTGGGACAG